CTGTGGGAAGTGCTATAAAAGCTCTTGGGAACTAATGTCCCATCAACTTATTCACTCTGATGAGAAACCGTTCAGGTGCTCTCAGTGTGGAATAGGGTTCAAGCGATCATCTCAACTCACTGTACACCAGCGGGTTCACACTGACAAGAGACTTTTTAAATGCCCAGACTGTGGGAAGTGCTACAAAAGTTCTGCAGAACTGATGTCCCATCAACGCGTTCACACGAACGAGAGATCCTTCAGATGCTTTCACTGTGGAACTGGCTTCAAGCACTTATCTCAACTCACTGTCCACCAGCAAGTTCACACTGGGGAGAGACCTTTTAACTGTCCCGACTGGGAAGTGTTTCAACAGGGCTGATGGACTGACATCCTATCGACATGTTCACACTGATGAGAGGCCATTCAGATGCTCTGACTGTGGGACTGGGTTCAAGCACTTATCTCAACTCACTGCCCACCAGCGAATTCACACTGGGGAGAAACCATTCACCTGTTCCGAGTGTGGGAAAGGATTCACCCGGTCATTGCACCTGCTGACTCACCAGCGAGTTCACACTGGGGAGAGGCCTTTCTCCTGCTCAGTGTGTGGGAAGACATTCACTCAGTCGTACCACCTGCTGACACACCAGCGGGTTCACACTGATGAAAGACCCTTTGTCTGCCCTCGCTGTGGAAAGAGTTTCAGGCATTTAGGTAACCTCATTTCACACCAGCGAGTTCACACCGTGGAGCAGCCGTTCACCTGCTCTGTGTGTGGAAAAGGATTCACACAGTCAGCAAACCTGGCGATCCACCAGCGAGTTCACGAGTGACCACGGGTTGGATTCTGCTATTGCTACAACTAGTAGTCAAATCCAGGACTGACCCATATTATTTCTGATATTTACAGTTTGTTTTTGCTGATGATGTTAATGTGCCTGTCACAGGCCAGAGTTTAATATTCTGGATCTATAGCTAACTGTTTTCCTTGGGCTGCCGTTTCCTTTTGAGAACTGCTGTCTGTCTTCTATCCTCTTAGTTCAAGAACTCTCAGAAAATAGATTTGAATAATATTCCATTAGAAATTTCTGCAATTTAATGTCTGCAAGGTGCCATTGATTAAAACCTTCAGTGAGAGAGTGCAAATGAATATTTGTTGACAATTCTTACTCTGTTCCACACACTGGCCCATCTGTCATCTGCCAGAAAGAAGGGATGTCGGAATTGGGTGAGAATCAAGAGTCTCCAAATATTACCTTTCTGCCAGGTACAGAACTCCAGTCAGCTCAGGAATGGAGACAAATGCAATCTGATCAATGATTTGGAAGAACCCACTATCCAAAATGTTCACAAAATCTGCGAAAATTTCTGCAATAGTATAGAATTCATAGTTACATTTTAAAGCATTTAATTATCTCAAATTCTTACCTGAACTGTTTTTTCCTTACCAGTGCCTCCCAAACCATGTTCTAATGTGACCCCAAAGTAAGATCGTGGTATAGTAGACAGTGAAGAACGTTATCTAAGATTACAAAGAGATCTTGATCTCTTGGGTCAATGGGCTGAGGAGTGGCAGATGGAGTTTAATTTGGATAAATGTGAGGTGCCACATTTTGACAAAACCAACAAGGGCAGGACAGAAACAATTCATTGTAGAGCCCTGGATAGTGTTACAGAACAGAGAGACCTCGGCATTCAGGTACATAATTCTTTGAAATTTGCGCCACAGGGTGGTCAAGAAGGCATTTAGCCTGCTTGCCTTCATTGCTCAATCCTTGAGTATAGGAGTTGGGATGTCATGTTGAGGTTGTACAGGATGTTGGTGAGGCCTCTTCTGGAGTACTGTGTGCAGTTCTGGTTGCTGTGTTATAGGAAGGATATTGATAAACTGGAGAAGGTCAGAAAAGATTTACCAGTATGTTGCTGGGAATGGAAGGTTTGAATTATAAAAATAAGCTGGGACTTCTTTCACTGGAGCGTAGGAGTATAATTCTGGTGACTGTTCTATAGGAAGGATGTTATTAAACTTGAGAGGGTGCCAAAAAGAATTCGAAGGATGTTGCCGGGACTGGAGGATTTGACTTATTGGGAGAGGCTGAATAGGCTAGAGTTTTTCTCCCAGGAGTGTCAGAGGCTGAGGGGTGAACTTATCGAGGTTTATAAAATCATGAGGGGCATAGATAAGATGAATGGCAAAGGTCTTTTACCTACGGTGAAGGAATTCAAAACTAGGGGGCATATTTTTAAGGTGAGAGGAGGGGCAACTTTTTTACAGAGTGGGTAGTGTGGAATGAACTGCCAGAGGAAGTGGTGGATGCAGGTACAGTTACAACATTTAAAAGACATTTCGATAAGTACATGAATAGGAAAGGTTTGGAGGGATGTGGGCCAAATGCAAGCAGTTGGGACTAGTTTAGTTTGGGCACATGGTTGGACTGAAGGGGCTGTTTCCATGTTGCATAACTCTATGACTCTTAAATAGCATTCTCTCTCACAAAGAGTCCTTCCAGTGCAGTTTTCAGGCTGTCAGATGCAGGGGAGGCCTGTTATTTCTGCCAAGCACACGTCTCTAGGACAGACTCCAAAAGAAAATTGGATTGAATGTTTTTTCTTGTTTATTTATATAATTTGGTATTGCTGGCATTTATTTCCCATCCCTAATGCAACGGAGAAGAAGGTGGTGAGCTGTTGCCTTGAACTGCTGCAGTCCTTGGGGTGTAGGGACACCCACGGTGTAGTTAGGGATGGGGAGCCAGGATTTTGATCCACCGACAACGAATGAATGATGATATAATACCAAGTCAGGATGGTGTGTGGCTTGGCGGGAAATTTGTAGGTGGTGGAGTTGCCATTGCATCTGCTTCCATTGTACTTCTGCATGGTAGTGATCACAGGTTTTAAATGTACTGTGGATGGTGCCTGGGTGTGTTTCTGCAGTGCGTCTTGTAGATGGTACACACCGCTGCTCCTGTGTGGATATTGAAAGAGTAATGTGTGCGGTGCCAACCACGTGGGGCAGCTTTGTCCTGGATGATGTCAAGCTTCCTGGGTGGTGTCACCCATACGTGGTCCAAGTTCGTATAAAGATTCAGACAGACTCTTCGTCAAAAATAATCATTTTTAAAAGGAAAGACATTCCAAATTGATCGAGACTGACCAACCCCTGACCCCAACCAACCTTTCAGGGGCGTCACCACCAGCAGCTACAGAGGCTAGGTGTCCCTCTGCTTGTTCTCTACAATCAAGTAGACCATTCTCGCCTGCCACGAGCCGTACACTTTTCCTGTTTGTTTAGCTCTTGCATCACATTTACATTGTTGTTTCTCAACCAACTACTTCCAGATCATGGACGAACTTGACTGCCAGTAATCTGTGATTCCAGGATTTACCGGCCTCAGTGTGCAGTTCTCGTGCCCATTTTATGTAAAAGAAAGAGGCACGGTACAGGGCTCAGAGGAGATCTAGAATGGTGATCTGAGAAATGTATGTGTTTACGGATCAGGAAAGGATTGACAGGCTGGGTCCCTTTTCACTGGCAAAGGAAGATGACTTCACAGAGACCTTTCAAAATGATCATCAGTTTCCTCTTGTGTGGAGCAGCGTAACTGAAGGCTGTCAATATACAGTAATCAACAAGAAATACAACTGAGGATTCAGAAGAATCTTCTGAAGTGGCAAGAACGTGCTGGCAACTCACTACCACAAGAAGTGGTTAAAGTGAATGCTATGGATGTGTTTAAGGGGAGTCTTGAAGTCAGGAGAAGTAAGGGAGAAGAAGTTTATTTGGAGTATTAAACTCAACATGGACTGGTTGTGTCGAGTGGCCTGTTTTGTGTCATGTATCCTGTGTGATCAGACTCCTGAAGGGTCGAGCTTTAACCTCTGGACTGTGACCCATTCCTAGACTGTCTAACCACCACAAGTAATCTTCTATTTCCCTGAATGTGATTGTCATTGGCAATAACAGTGGAATTAATCACATCCAGAACTGAACCCTGTTGATACTGACAGTTTGGGTTTATTATGGTTGATGTCAATAATCCCAGTAACTAGGCTGGAGTTTGATATCTTGATGTCTGTTAAATAAATCAGGTTTATTTCAAACATACCAGGTCTGTCGAGTCCTTGATTTCCCCAGGATAAGAGGGGACTATTTGATGTCTTGTTACTGACTACTCCATTTTAGGATCTTTCTTGTTTCTAATTCTAGATAGTTTCAGTTCTTATACCTTTGGTCACACTCATGGATAAGAAGCTCCTGTTAACAATTGGGAAGAACAATGTGGATTGCTGGAACATCTAATGTTGATCTCTCTGTTTGTGCACCTTCTTTGCAGCAGGAACATTATATTCCTCACTCTGTTCTATTACCTTCATGCACTTTATATGGTATGATCTTCCTGTGCTGCACACAAAACAAAACTTTTCACTATACTGTACCTAGGTACATGTGACATTAGTAAATCGAATCACATCAAATCCTAAAACGTGCTGGCAAATCATAAATTGGGGTCAAACTGGGATCTGTTCCTGACTGAAGTGAAATGGCAGGTTTAAGTTTCCAGTTTGAAAATGACTGTGCTCGCTAATAGTTTGAGGATTTAAAATGATCGGAAAGTCACGCAGTGTAAGGCCGTAATAATAATAACAACTTGCATTTATATAGTACTGTTCACATAGTAAAAGCTTCCAAGCTGCTTCACCCATGAATCAAAGCTTGGTCAAAGAGATCAATTTTTGACCAGTATCTGAAAGTAGGAAAGGGAGGGAATTCCAGAGCCTTGGCAACTGGACGCATAACCAGCAATGATGGGAGTGATGTAGGTGGGCGATTGGAAAGTGTCGGAATTGGAGGAATGCAGGGAGCTCAGAGAGTCTTAGGGCTGGAGGAGGTTCCAGAGACTGTCTGTCATAGAGAGAGACGCTGCCTCGATGGAACTTCAAGCACAGCAATGAAATGGGTCCACGCAGATCGTGACAACAGCAGTGCAGAAGATGTCTGCTGTCTTAAACAGGATGACCAATACTGTATTCCTGGTCTTATAACACGTTACTGATCTCTGGCCTGCAGCGGAGTGGAAGCAATGGTGTGATCTTTATCCAGGAAAGAGACGATAGAGAAAGGAGACAGGAAACGCGAACACAACTCAAAGAATCTGTACTTTTCTTCATTTACCCCAAGCCCCCAGGAAGTGACCAATATGCTGCCTCCATCCCTCAACATGCCACTGGACCCCTGCTGAGTTTGGCCATGCACAGGTACACGTGGAACAGCCCTTACTGAGACTCAGAGGTGCTCTGGTACCCAGAGGCTGGTGACCAACAGAAGCTGAGCAGGGATCTGAGCAGCTTTTCCTGCTGAAAATACACAGGATGTACCAGGAAGAAGTGGCAGCTAGAAATTTGAATTCACTAAGTTTGTACAATGCGGGGTTCAATAAAACATTACGTTTTTGTTCTTAAATAACAATACATAGATGTAAGGATTGGAACCACTTCCAGTTGTTGACCATTCTCACATCCAAGGGCCAGTTCGCGTTTTCACTGGTTTTATGCTGTGAGTGTATTAGGTCGCCAACCAGATTGTTGTAAACTTTTAACATTGATTATTCAAAAAAATGAGAGTTGTGGATGCTGGAAATCTGAAACAAAAACATAAAGTAGCTGGAGAAACTCAGCAGGTCTGGCAGCATCTGTGGAGAGAAAGTAGAGTCAATGTTTCGGGTCCAGTGACCCTTCTGCAGGACTGGTCGCTGGACCCGAAACATTGACCCTGCTTCTCTCCACAGATGCTGCCAGACCTGCTGAGGTTCTCCAGGTATTTTTGTTTTTGTTATACTATAGGTGACATGTCGAGCTACAATGATCCTGGGATTGTATGTCAACATTTTAGAAAGCTCACAGTGGGGAAAAGCTAATGAAAACTGTTGAAGCTTCTTGCTTCACTGAGTAGAAGGACATCAATGAAATAAATGACAACAATGTATAACAGCCTTGATAAGATGAATTCAGAATGACAAATGCAGAGGACAGCATGTGGTTAAGTGAGGTGAGCACAGACCAATTGAACTGTGCCTGGGTGCAGGGAGGAGTTAATCAGACATGAACCAGGATAAAAGAGACCCTCCTGGGAAAAGGCTGTATGGCAGAAAGGAACCTGAATCAGAAGATAAAGACCCAGAGAGAGATAAAGCTTGAAGACCAAATATCCAGTCTGTGAAAGCTGTGACAAGTCCTTTTTGTGTTCTCCTGCCCAGCTCCAATATGAGTGGTATTACCCACTTTAAAATGTAATTACTGGACGGGTTTCTCCATGTAGTTTGCTTCAAGGCAAATAAACTTATCCTGACTTTGTATCAATAAAGTTGATTCCTAACTAAGCTTTGCTGCCGACTCCATTCCTGCCTGGAAAAGACAGTAACTAACCACCTGCTCTCTCCGTCGCCAGCGCTTCCCCCCCCGCCAAAAAAAAATTCAGACAATGCTGAATATCAATCCAGGCTGGGAACCATTAGGTGTAAGAGCAGTTAAAGGAAAATTCAGTGCACGGTGAGGGGGAGGGGAGAACCGGTGATGGGAAATTTTAATTTTGAAGGAGTCCCACCCAATGCAGAGACAATGAATTTCCTATTTTCTAATACTAAGTGTATATTTCCCCATTTTTACTTTTCATTTTAGGTTTCTCACCAAGTATGTTGAATTTGTGTAAAACATGCATTTGGTTCGGGTTCTAGGGGCCATACTTTAGGAAGGAC